GGAAAATGGGCAAGCAATTAACCTTCGGGAACAGCATTTAAGCATCTGGATGTGATTGAATTTTATTTGTTTGCTTACCTAGTGGTTCATAATTCCCATTGCCGAGATGAGGGATAAATGTATAGTCGTTGCGGATTGCCATGGGTTCATTGATTCGGCATTTGAGGCCTTCGAGTTACAATCACATGAATTCCTCGTCATCACGGGATTCGAAAGCGAGGTCTACAAAGCTTATGCTAAGAAATTAGGCCTCAAATCACCGGTCTTCATCAACTCCGAAATTGGACAAAACAGTTTTACTGCGACTTTCTTACGGGGCAGACTCGGCTTGTCCTCCATGGACCGATCAAGATCAATATCGAAGCAAGCTATTTTAGCTGAACGGTAGGTAGACTGATCGGCAACTAATGGGAATAGTTTAATTTATACATGTGCACTCACTTGGTGGACGCGCCTGAAGATTTTCTCCACACAGCGGGCAGGGCTGATTGCCGGAGCAATAACGGTGATATGGACGTCGATCACGTTAACACCGCCAATCTGCAGGGTCAGTTGGCTGGCCACAGAGAACACAGGAAACAGCGTCGTTCGATATCGAACGCCACCGTGGTTGGTTGCGGTTGCCATCTAACACCAGAGGCTGGTTGTCCTGTACACTAATTGCATTTTGAGGCAACATCAGCTGGCTTTGGACAATCAGACGCTTCCTGCACCCAGCAGCCTTACTCGGTTCCAGCAGCTTCAGTTTGCCGATCAAGCTGCTTGTGCAGACATCCGGGAAACGTCTAAAGTGTGCTATCTGCCGCATTCGAGAAGAGCACAGGTGGCTATATCTGCCACCCTCCGATTCCACCAGCAGCACGCGACCGCACTCTCGAAACCTGGCTATGATGGACGATATGTCATCTAAAAACCGACTAAAAGGTAACCAATGGCCTACTTAACAATGGGGGTCGACATTTGACGCGATAATTACGCACATCCTTGATAGTGAGTACCTTTCCAAAGTGGTCGGCGATGTACTGCCGAATCTCCGATGACGAAGCACCGTATTTCAAAAGGGTAGAACACTCCTTTAATTCATCGTTTGGCAGTCGCCGGTTGATTGGGAGCCTGTTAAAAATAAACTTGCCGCGTAGATGGTTGTGCTCCAGGTAGTAGGAAGTAGCCCTCAAGCAGTCATGGTACCGGCGAACGTGGAACCTTGCCGGACAATCAGTACGACGTGTGCTACAACGTACACAAAATCCACCATAAACTCACTAGGTGCGACGAATTCCACGGCCTCTGCTTCGTCTGCATGGATGTCTGCTGCAACGGTAGAAGGCTTTTTCATACAAAAGTACCGAATTGCCGCTCTTTTTGGAGTTTATACGGACGAAAACAACGCAGTGTTTCGTGTGGTACTCTTTCAAAGCGACTTGAAATGCATTGAATGAGAAAAAACTTTGACGAGCTAAATTCTCCACAAAATAATCTCCGCATTCACGTGCCCAGCGATAGCAGCCATTTAAAATATGAATCTCGCAGGCCTTGATTACCGCGGGCCTTGAATATCGCGGGGGTTGAGTAGATTTAAACAACTTTCAACAAAACTGCGGCCGTTTGGGGAGATCTCATACGCCCGGAAAATTACCATCAAATGTTTAAAATTGTTGTTAAAGTTTTCCTCCTTCTAACCACGGTTTCAGAAAAATTTTAGATGTGCCTCTAGCCCACGGTCGTGTTTACAAGATGGCGAAACCGCGCTTTAATTTGACGCGTCCGATTACAAGGTCAAAGAGCAGTTTGTGTTCAGATCAAAAACACGGAAGTTGGTATAGGCGCAAAATCAGGATATCAGAAATGAGAATCACGTTGTACAAAATAAAACCTAAGAGAAATTGACCAGTATAAAGGGACCAACTCAAAAATGTAAATGAATTGTTGTTAATAGAATAACATCTCTTGTTTTTGTCAATCCACCTCAAACTTTCTGTTTCCACGATTTATGCCAAACACTTCTTCGAACCAAGACTAATTTTTACTCTGTAGAAACCGCTGTGACAGTCAAGTGTGTGGTGGAAGAGTACTACATATATAGCGGCACGTGCAGTATAGGTGCCAGTATACAACAATTAGTTTACTCTTTATTAGCCTTGACAAATCTGCTGGTGAACTGGGTCACTTTTATCTCCGCCTTTTGACCAAGCTGGTTTTTTGTGAAGCCAGTGTCACAAAGTGCACGCAGCGAATTCCCGACTATCATAAGAAGGTTTACATTCTCGAAAGAAAAATCACTTTTACTGATAAAGAGCTGGTTGTGTAAAGGTACTCACTTATTGTTCGCTGAATTCCGCGCCGATTGGTCTGATCAGAAAAGCATTCAAATTTTTTAATCCGGTCAATATGTTGGTACAAAAAACTTGAATTACCTTAGAGACGTCGATTTCCACCTCCACCACTGGTAAATGTGTACTTGGTGTTCATTTTTCCCAATAAACCGGGTCGTCGTTGCAATGAATTACCTTATGCGGACACCATAATCGGAAGAATAGAACGTCCGATGAAGGAGGTGTACCTTCACAATAGTCATCTATCAACACTCAATCAGTCTTGTCGGCTAAAGTTGGCGCTTACCGTTCGGCAATACGTCGTTGTATTTGAACGGCGATATTTCACGGACCAAACACATCCTTCTTCAGTTTACCCAAAAATTATTCAAAAGAAAATGTGAAGAATCGATCCAAGAGTTCATGTACACTCACGTATATATTTGCATCGAGTTTGTGGGTGATGTTAAGCCCTGTAGGGAAGGTCTTCAGCGGAACACGCTGCAATATGGATCGTTCTGCTTTGTTCACTTCTTCGAGCTGCAGAGTGTTTTAAACTGAGCTACCTTTTCTAACCCCAACTGTGGAGGAAAGATGTGAACATAGTTAACCAAGCAACTGCTCACCTTAGCCCCACTCACAACGAACAGTGCGACAAGGACACATCTGTCAGAATGGTTGATGTTGAGGCAGCTAAAACTATGGCGACTCTCATTGTATCCAGGCCCGTGGTTTTGTAGTATGGTTGCTAGATGGTGCTCAACAAGCTCAGGAAATTCAGGACTTTGAATCCAATGTTGCAACAGCTGAGGGGGTTTCGCGCAGATGCCGCCTCAGACATGATCAGCAGGGTCGGAACCTATCTCTGTCGCGAGGTGCTGGTATTTTCGTGCATGAAACTAACCTTGTCGGCCACGAAAGTTTAAACCCCAAAATTCTGTTAAAAATGTGATGGAGCACAATTTTTAGATTGTTCCAGTTGAGCCGGGTTTTCAATTGCCCCACCAGGTATTATATTAGTCTAACTGACAATATAGCAGTCAGAAGTTCGAGATGGATAATAGCTCCTGACTTTCGAAGCGCTAAACCTTGCTTTTTTTTATCAAAAACTGCAATGAACGTGCTGTATCGCCTCACATACTACCATACTGCTACTACATACTGCTATACTACGGCTCCGTAACCGTCATAGAAAATTTGTAACGACTGATTTCCGGCAGTGAGTTGTTTAGGCATGACACATCTAGGGATATCCAATGGCTTGGCAATCCGAATGTCATTTGACTATTTCCTCTAAGCCTCCAGGCTTAACTGAAACTACAACGTGATTTAAAGAGCCCTTTTAATGATTGTTTGGTTGCAACTGCGAGGGGCAACGCAATTCAAGGAATATTATAAATAAACCGCGCAGGTCATGTGCATTCCGGGGTTTAATGAGTGCAAGTACACAAAATAGGCAGCACAATCGTGAGCTGGCATCTGGAAAGAGAACTCGTCACTGCCGATTATCGATTTATGCAGGCTGGAGTCGCCTCGTCTCAACGGACTAGACAGCTGATGGACAAACCTACGAGCCTGATGGATAAAATTGACCGACACTGTGTAGTCGTCAGCACGAAAATTCTTCACTTCTTTATTCGTACCCTTATCAAAAGACTTGCAGTTGTCGTACGCTGTTTATCTCAAAGCCAACGTCACAGAAAAATGTTGGAACGTAGCTCTAAATGGGTGCACATTAGGCTTGAAGACCTCCATCGCCTGCTCAAAGTTAACGTTAACATGCCATAGAAAACTTAGTGATGCCAAATCTTTTAATAATAATAATAATAGTAATAATAATAATAATGTTTATTCCCAACTTGTGGGTGGCATACCGTCTGGCATGATCATAGTTTTACAGTCAGAATGGAGCATGACTGAGGGATTTGTGGGGGTACGGATTGCACAAAAGGAGGACAATGTCACAAACAGTGGGGAACTCCTGATGATATAGCAATAATAGGTTATCTCTCAACTTTTTGGGAAAAATGGGCATGAGGTTCGACTAGATCAAAAACAGTCAAGTGGCATGAACTAAACCCGAAAACCATTGCTGGCCATGAGTGACCTTGGGCGGTCAGGTTAATGGCCGGAGTTACAACGAGCAACAGTGGAGATGGCGATGGGTTGATTCAAATTGGGAGCACATGTCAAGTTTTGTCTCAAAAATGTGGTTTAATCTGAAAGCAAGCAGACTCACTGGTTGCAGTGTTGTAGGGATGTCAGGTGCAGGGGAGTAGGTTGGATGGGGGCAAGTTGCTAATACA